TAGACAAGGAAAAGTAGCCCTGCAAGGCCAACTATATACACTCCACCCGGCACACCTCTGTCCCCATTGGAGGGTTTGAATTATCCCGCCAAGGGTGCTATTGGTAGACTCTAGGAGGACTAGGATCCGAGGTCCCCTTTGTGTTTGGGGACCAAGCTCCTGCTTTAGCCGCGGACCCCTGGTGGCAGTCCGCGTACATAACAGTGGTGAGGAGATCTGCCCCAGAATGCTGCAGGAGGGAGAGCCGGTTCCTGGGCAGGAAACGGCTGTTTGATATATTGTGGCGTTTTGGGCGGGAAGCCAGTCCAGTCAGTCTGTTAGAAGTCTGGAGCCGGTCAGGCTGTCGGTTGGAGCCTGCAGGAGGCAGAGGCCATGTTGGGAGACCGGCTGATCTAACCTTCTCCATAGGAATGAAGTCATGGGCCTGCCCTGCAGACCATCCAGACAGGGCCTGAGTGTAGAGAAGGGAGCGAGACGGAGTGGTTTTGTCGCCCTTTATTTTGATTCTTCAGTTCACTGTGAATATGCCTGTAAATAATTAAGAGCTTTCAAAATAAATAATTTTACTGTTGACGGCAGGGGTCATTTCGTAGAAAAAGAGGTGCAGGAGCTCATTAGCATAACCTATTTGCATATGCCACACCCCCTGACATCACCGGAAGTGTGTCAGAAGGCAACACCCACCCCTCAGGCTCCACTGGACTGCTTTGGATTGCTAGCTATGGAGGGGGGGGGGGGGTGTGCAGATCTGTCCTCGCAGAGGAGGGAGAGCTTGTACCTGAATAAAACCTGGTCTTAAAGGTGCCACTGGACTGTTTTGGACCAGGGGGCCGGAGTGGAGGGGGGGCTCTGGAACTTACCTGGCTGCTTCTTGCTCTGACTGAGGGCTGCTGGGAGCAGGGGGTGGGGCTTGTTACATGTGCCCGCCCCCTGGACTCTTTACTGCTGGAGCTCCGCTCCTGTGCGTTCCTGCAGGAAATGACCCCTGGTTGACGGTGAGAAGTCCCTCTGTACCACATAGTCCCCCCAGCCGCTTGGAAACACTAAAGGTGGGTCGGGGATTCCCCAAGGAGAACAGGAGCAAAACAGTCAGTTGCCAACTCTCCAGGGGAGCCCCAAAGATTGCCAGGAAGCCCCGAGGTGGGTTCCTAGTAATACCAGAGGGAGGTTAGGAGGCTGTCCCACCTACCCAGAGCCCAAGACAGGGACAGTGGTGCCCCTCAACAGGGAACTGAGGTTACTGGCATCCTTCTCTCCTCCGTTTTGTCATCACAACAGCCCTGTGAGGGAGGTTAGGCTGAGAGGGTGTGACTGGCCCAAGGCCACCCAGCAAGCTTCCGTGGCACAAGGGGGGGGGTTTCGAGCCCAGGTATCCCACATCCGAGTCTGAAAGTTTCCTGGGGTGGAGACCAATGTTCCCTTTAAGCTGTGGAGTCTTGTGAGCAAAAATTCTACTTTGTGAGCTACTGGCATTAAAGTTGTGAGCAAGCATTTTGGCTGCTGCATAAATTAATTTGCTCTGGAGCCCTCCTTCCTGAGCTAAGACAAAAATGTGTGAGCCAGAGGCTAAAAAACTGTGAGCTAGCTCACACTAACTCGGCTTAGAGGGAACACTGGTGGAGACTGTCGAGTGCAGCATCAAGCAGCTAGTCCTGGGTGAGGCATGCAAGTTGGGTGGTTGCCTGTTGCCCAGTGGTTGCCTTGATGAGTCCTCCCTCAATGGCCAAACAGCTCTGGAAAGGGGCCTGCCCTCTCCTCCCACCTTTTACTGACAGAAGCAAATGTGGGAAAGCTGGGGAAGAAAACCCCTTTTCCCCTTCCTCCAGGTGAACTGACAGAACCAGCAAAAACTTGTTGTTCCATTACACAGTCGAGTCCGACTCTTCACAACCCCATGGACCACATCATGCCAGGTCCTCCTGTCCACCGTCATCCTCCGGAGTCTGCTCAATTTCATGTTCGTTGCCTCGATAACACTGTCTAACCATCTCATCCTTTGCCGTCCCCGTCTTCTTTGATCTTCAATCTTTCCCAGCATCAGGGTCTTCTCCAGTGAGGGCTCCCTTCTCATTTGGTGGCACAAGTGTTTGAGCTTCAGCTTCAGTATCTGCCCTTCCAGGGAACAGTCAGGGTTGATTTCTATTAGGATTGACTGATTTGATCTTCTTGCAGTCCAGGGGACTCTCAAGAGTCTTCTCCAGCACCATAATTCGAAAGCATCTATTCTTTGGCGCTCGGCCTTATAGCCCAACTCTTGCAGCCATATTACTACTGGGAATATCATTGCTTTGACCATACGGACTTTTGTTGGCAGAGTGATGTCTCTACTTTTTATTATGCTGTCTAAGTTTGTTAAAGAACATTTAATTTTTTTAAAAAAAACCCAATTCAAATAACGTGTGTGTGTGTGTCATTCAAGCCAGGTTTTTGAGACTCAATAGCATTCAGATAAAAAGTGTGCGAGGGGGTTTAGCAGAAATAGATACCTATGGGAACAGGCCCTCTGTTTTGGCAGTGTTTATTAGTTTAAAGTACTTCGAAAAAGGATCCCAATAAAGGAAAACTGTATCCTGACTGCACTCAATTAATGTTTAAATATTAAAGTGAACAGAATACAAAAATTATTCATGAAGTACAAAATACATAAGGTAAGTACAAAACATATAAAGGTATTCAACACTTATTCATTATTGTTATAGGTTATTAATGATGATCTCCGGAATGTTCAACTGTTTCGAAAGATACCTTCTTCTGAACAGATGAAGGAAAATGAAGAACATGTAACATGCATCTTACAGAATTTGCCCTATGTGGAATCATCAGGAACTTCCTCTCAGTAATGTTCTGACATATCAGAGAAACTAATGAATTTCTTGGAATTTACCAGTTGAAAAACTGACCAGACACATTACATGTTCTTCATTTTCCTTCATCTGTTCAGAAGAAGGTATCTTTCGAAACAGTTGAACATTCCGGAGATCATCATTAATAACCTATAACAATAATGAATAAGTGTTGAATACCTTTATATGTTTTGTACTTACCTTATGTATTTTGTACTTCATGAATAATTTTGGCAGTGTTTATTGACATTTTCATTATCTTTCACTGAGAATAGTGACTAATAAGTAGTAACAAAAGATTTTACAACAAAGCCTTTAAAATAAGAGAAGGAAGATATATTAGGTCCTTGGGTGGGGCAACAACATTATGTGGAAGAAAGACTCTCCTAACAGCCAAGTGACGTCCTTGTTCTCTGGTCTCTGAATGTGTAGAGAGCCCAGCATTCTCTCCTCATCCCCGTAAATAATCTGATAAGCAGCAAGGAAAGACACAAAGAGAAAGGAAAAACGAAGGAGGTCCAGTTTAGGTTCTCTGACTTCTCCAGTCAAGGTATCCCCATCCTCGGTGTGCCTTGCCACCAGCTGGCCCATGCCACTGGGGGCTGGAATCAAGCCAAGCCCATGTGAAGCACAGGTGGCCTCACTTCAAAAAGGATGTGGACAAAATCGAGAGGGCGCAGAAGAGAGCGACGAGGATGATCAGGGGTCTGGAGGCTGAGCCCTCCAAGGAAAGCCGAAGGGTCCTGGGAATGTTTACTTTGGAGAAGAGGAGAGTGAGTGGGGACAGGATTGCTCTCTTTAAACATTTGAAAGGCTGCCATTTGGAGGAGGGCAAGGAGCTGTTCCAGTGGGCAGCAAAAGAGGGGACCCGAAGCAACGGGTTTAAATTACATGCAGAAAGGTATCAGCTGGATATTAGGGAAAACCCTTTCGCCATCAGAGTGGTTCAGAGGTGGAATCAACTGCCTGGGGAGGTGGTTAGCTCCCCTTCACTGACAGCTTTCAAGAAGAGGCTGGACGAATATTTGTCAGGGATGCTCTAGGCTGGTCCTGCATTGGACAGGGGGTTGGACTGGATGGCCCTTTCCAACTCTATCATTCTATGATTCATTGTACCACCCAACCCGCCTCATGTTTCTTTTCTTTGACTGTTATGGCAACAGCCATCCACACTGGAAATTCTCAGCCTGTGCTCTCTCTTACCTTATCACCTTCCATTCTTTTGTTAGGGCCACACCACAGAATTTGGTCATATGCAGTTATGCTCTTATATGCATACCCATCTAGTTGTGAGGTTAGCCAGGTCATGCATTTAAACCCAGATCTGCCGTAATTTATGTTTGGGTCTCCATGGACCCTTTTGGAATTCAGAGGACAAAATGGCTGCCATGGATAATGTGGTCGAGCACAAAATGGCTGCCCTGGTAGCTGGGGGCGGTCAGGAACTTCTGGGAGGTTACGGTGCTTCCTGCACATTCGAGGTCCGATAAATTCTGAGGTATTTTCCGCTCCAATGAGGAAGCCGAGGTTGCCTTTTTTGATTGAGGGAAAAGGAAAATGGGTGCCAGGAAACACAATGGCAGGGGCCAAGTTGGGAATCAGTGATCTATGTGAAAGCAAGGGCTGGGGGTGATTTAAGGAGTAGCCAGGCGAGGAACCCTCTCCCTGCACACCGCCAGTCTTCTTGTGATTCCTCTTCCCTATTGCTTTACATCCACTTGTCTTTGCTTCCAGGCACAGCTTGTGGGAAAATGACATTGGGGGAAAGAATACGGGAAACTGAGCCCTGAACAGGGGACATTTTGTAATTCGCATGTCACCCTCTCCCCACACGATCGCAGGAGTTAGAGTTGCCAGCTCTGGTCTGGGAAATTCCTGGAGATTTGGGGGAGCAGCCTGGGGCAGGCAGAGTCTGGAGAGAGGAGAGAGCCGAGCAGGGACAGGACTCCATCGTGTCTGCGCTCCAAGGCTGCGGTTTCCTCCAGGGAACAGGTCTCTGCAGCCTGTAGTTGTAGCTCCGGGAGAACTCCGGGCCGCATCTGGAGAACGGCAACGTTAGCTGCGAGATCTGGCCTCACAGATACAAACCCAGTTTGGCTCTTTATATTCCTTTATATAAATAAACTCCATTCATGTTATACGAAAGGCACCACATTTTCACTGTGTGGCATACGGGCAAAGTCTGCAGGTGGCGTGGTCAGGATTGCTGGCACACTGAAGCAACTGGACTGGCCTGTTGTAAAACAATAAGAAATGCTTCAGAACCATTACACGTAGGAGCCATTTTAGAAAAAGGCAGCATCAAAAGCTCCAGACACAATCTACCTTAATCAGGACCAGGGGTCCCCAAACGTTTTGAGCCCGTGTGCACTTTGGGGATTTTGACACAGCCCGGTGGGCACAGCAACAGAGTGGCTGCCACAAAATGGCAGCTGCACAAGGTGAAGCCAGGCACAAAAATGGCCGCTGCAGCCTCCCTTCAGTCACACACTCAAGATCCTCGTGCTGTGGTGGCAGCGGCTGTCCAAGTGACGTTGTCAAAAATATGCACAGCCGATGAAGCCTCCAGTGGTCAGGCAGAAGCCTCGCTCGGCAAAAGCCCTGCCGGGCCCTACCCACTTTATAAAACCCCTTTGTGGGCACGACGCTGGGGACCCCTGATCAGGGCAGTTTGCAAAGATCAAAATAAAAACAAAGCAAAAAGGCTGAGATCCCACTGCACGCCCGTCTACTCGGGGGAGACGTTCTCAGTAGGAGTTACTTCTGTATCTGAAGAAGTGAGCAGGGACTCACATGAAAGCTCCTCCCCTGCCACAGATTTTGTGAGTCTCTAAGGTGCTGCTGGACTCTTGCTCTTTTCTGCTGCTACACACGGACCAGCAGGGCTACCCATCTTGAAGAAGCGAGCAGGGACTCACAGGGTTGCCAGCGCCAGGTTGGGAAACTCCTGGAGATTTGGGGATAGAGCCCAGGGAGGACAGGGACCTCAGTGGGATACAAGGCCACAGAGTCCTCCTCCTAAAGCGTCCATGCTCTTCAGGGAAACTGATCTGTGTAGTCTGGAGATGAACTGTAATTCCAGGGGATCTTCAGGTCCCACCTGGAGGCTGGCATCCCTATAGACTCACAAACATTCCTCCCCTGCCACATATTTTGTTAGTCTTTCAGGTGCTCCTGGACTCTTACTCTTTTCTACTGCTGCAGACAGACTGACACGGTGACCCGCCTTCATCTTATTTCCGAATAGACACAGATAGGGTCAGGCTAGCCGAAGCATTGCTGGCTCACATCCATCTATTAAAGGGGGAATCGACACTTTCCTAAGAAGTCCTCCTGACTTTGTCTCAGTTTAGAAATGATCATGATCATGATCCTTTCTGGACCCTCCACCTGAATGGATCCAGAAAGGAACACAGGTAAGATCCAATGAGCTGCTTGGGCAGATCAAAGGGACTGTGCTACTTCATGGGAACTTTTGATCTGTAGCCAACCTCTGTCCACATCACACCACCTACTTTTAAAATTCCACATAGTTTCAAAAGCAGTTTGTCAGGCTGCACAAGGGAGTGCTGTTCTAAAGCTCCAAAGGAACTATTTCATGGATCTTTGTATATTGGCTAGAGATTGTCTCAGATGCACTGTCAAACTAACCTTGATAACTGCAGCAGTGCACCTACGCAGCACCCATTCTCTTTGCAATGCCCACAAATCAGAAAATGGTAAATTAGTCTGAACAGCTGAGGTATAAACCTCGAAACAAGTCGACAAGAAGTACCAAAAGCATTATAGCAAATTACCTGTGATTCTCTTTGCAAGTGATGCTGATGTTTCGGTTTTCTAGGATGCTTGTCAGCATTTTTATGGATGGCCCTGCACAAGATTCACTAGGGAAAATATATATACCATTGTTATTATGCTCATTAAGACGATAATGTTTACGATCTGTGTACAGGTATGGTTAATTTTAAAAAATCAAGGAAGGAAAATCCCATCTCCTTGCCTGGTCATTGGGGGCAGCAAAAGAAATAAAGTAAAATGTGATTCCCTAAGTTGCTAAAATTTGAGCATTGCTGGGATAAGTGAAACATTATGTCAGAGAGCCCCCTACTGTCAAGAAGCAGAAACTGCAACCAAATAAACAATTTCCCAAATGCAAAGCATCTATTAAAAAAAACATGTTTTAAAAGAGTTGATTTCCTTTCACTTGTATTTAATGCCAGATTGTTGTCTCTAGTCAGACAAGTTTTTGAAACATAATCATGTGAACAGGTGATATCGTGATGGATATGGGCGCCTGTCTGCACGTCATACCACCTTCAGCTATCTGGGCACATCCAGACTACAGGCTTTTCTTTTTCTTTGGGTCATGAAGTCATGGCTGGGTTATGGCCACCATGCAGGGTTTTCATCTTGGATCTCTTATTCTGAATTTAATTTTTTATTAAGTTATATACTGTATTTTAATGTTTTGTATATTTTATGGCATTGTGCCCCTTTGTACATCGCCCAGAGACCGGCGTAAGCTGGGATAGGGCGATTAAGAAATTGAATAAATTGAATAAATAAATGAATGAATGAATAAATAAATAACAAGAGACGTTTCAGAGGTGGTTTGCCATTGCCTGGCTCTGTGTCATGACCTTGTTATTTCTTGATGGTTTCCCTTCAGTTTGGTGTAGCGGTTAAGTGCGCGGGAGTCCGCGCACTTAACCGCTACACCAAACTGAAGGGAAACCATCAAGAAATAACAAGGTCATGACACAGAGCCAGGCAATGGCAAACCATCTGGGACAACTGGGTTTGGTTCCCCACTCCTCCACCTGCACCTGCTGGATGACCTTGGGCAAGCCATAGTTCTGATAAGAGCTGTCCTTGAAAAAGAGCAGTTTCTGTCAGAGCTCTCTCAGCCCACCTACCTCACAGGGTGTCTGTTGTGGGGAGGGGAAGGGAAAGAAGTTTGTAAGACACTCTGAGACTCCTTTGGGTAGTGAAGGGTGGGGTATAAATCCAATCTCTTCTTCTTCTGAATACTAACCAGGGCCAGACCTGCTTAGCTTCCAAGAACTGAGGCGATCAGGCTGGCCCGGGCTCTGCAGGTCAGGGCTCTACAGACTTACACTCTTGAAACTTGGTGGGTATCTTGGGGAGAGGCTCCAGCAGCTACCCTGCAATTTTGGAGCCTCTCCCTCAAACCAACTCCCCTCCAGCCCACTAGAATATACCCTATGTTTTTGCCATTGACTTCAATGGCCCATAGGATATAATGGGGCAGATTCAGATCAGAGAATCTGAATCGGCCCACAGCAGCTCGAAAGGCACCTGAATGGGCCATTTTTGGGGGTGCATTCAGCTCAGATGAACCAAATGCACATCCCTAAGCCATGGCATGAAGCAGTGCAAGGCAGCCAGGTGAGCGGGCTGGCAGGTGAGGTGCGGCTAGGGGGCTGTGGGTCCTGTGGCTGAACCTGCAACTACAGAGATTTCTCCCCTTCTCCCTCCAGTGCAAGATTGCAGCCCTTGCTCACTTGTATGCACCTGTGCCCTCATCGCTGAGGAAGCTGGCCACCAAGGGAGAGAGAAACACAGCACTCCCTCAGCTTCCCCTCCCGGGTTTTTCCTTCAGCTCCCGCCTTCTCAGTCCAGCCCGGATGCACCAACGCAGGGTGCACACAAGCCACCAGCAGCAGCAGAACAGCCATCTACATCCCATCTGCTTGCCCACCTCTCCTCCTTTGGCTTGTCTCCCCAGGCGGGCTGCCATTTCCAAGTCTGAGAAGTGTTGCAGCAGAAAGCCCCCCTGCAGGGCGGTGGGTGGGGGTGTGACTGAGGCAAAGTCACCGTGGCAGCATGAAGTCAGCCAGGAAGAAATAAGGAACCGAACAGGAGCCCGCCACTTTCGCCATAGTTCCCTGCACTCCACACAGCCAATGCGGTTGCAGGGGGAAATGAGAGGAGGAGGGGATCCTCCTCAGGTTACTTGGAGTCAGTGACTGACTTCCACTTACACCCACCCTCCACAATAGGGGAAATAACCCTGCTCCTACCTGCGAGTGTGAGTTTATTTTATTTTTATTTTATCAGTGTTTTCTGACTTATTTAAAGGCCCCCTGAATTCAGAAATCCTGGCTACGAGCCTGTTACACTGGTTTGTGTCTAGCATATCTCCCTGCAGGTTTTTATGCTCGACATAAACTGGTGTAATATTGAACTGACCACTGGAGGGAGCAAAAAGACGACGACGACAACCTGAAGAAACAGGAACTTACAAGCAAGGAAATTAAGAATGCGGAAAAGCCCAATGTCAGTTAAACAAAAAATAGTTTCACACTCTGAACAACACTTGTTCTACAAAAAACAGAACACAGCTGGTAAGAAAGAAACATATCTTATCAAAAAGGCACCATTTTAGGCCTGTCCATTTTAAGCTGAACCACAGATATAAAGAAATCTTATTCTGCAATGGCAAATCATACCTTTGAGTTCCTTCAATGTCATGCATAAGCCAAACTTCTACTGTGGAGACTTTCTCTGGATTTAAGTGAAGTATTTCAATGCTTCCAAAAATGCTTGGTGGAACAGGAACATGGAACAAAGAACAGAAAACACTTTTACTAGGCAAATCAGGGATGAGGCTAAAATCTTCAGTAATTACAAGGCACTACTACTTTCACAAAAGAAGATACGTTTGCCCCAACCCTTGAATTTGTCTGCAAAGAACTAGGCTCTGCAAGGATCAGTTTGTGCACATTCAATGAATAAATTATCTCCATTTTGTATGTTATTCTGCCCATTATCTGTCGGAGAGGGAAGAAGGAAAGGAAGGACCTAAAGTTAGTAGTCCCGTTCAGGAAAGAAGAATCGGTGGGCGTAGCCCCAGGGATGTGATATCAGGACTCTACACAGAATCCAGTCTGTACAGAATGTTTCAGCAGGTGTGAGAGGGGATTCATGCCAAGTTGTTGGATTCCACACCCTGATACAGAGTTTTTGAGGATCATGAAACTGCGGAGGAAATCAGGCGAAATGCAGCCCCGGAGTTTCGGGTGTGAAATTGACACGTTTGTGTCGAGGCAAACGGTGCTGTGCTGTGAGGCAGCTCTCGTGAGAAATCACCCTAAATGTTACATTTTTGACATCAGCAATCTTGCATGGGAGATATAATAACATAGTATACGCGGCTAGACTTTGCCATTGCAATTCTGGATGTATTGAAACTGTTTCACATATTTGTTTGCATTGTCAATTTTATGTGGTCTTACGTGCTAGATATTTAAACCCTATCTTAGCCAACATGACGAACCTTCCTGATGCTTTAAAAGTGCACCGTCTTCTAAATGACTCTGTTCCGGAAATATCAATGAATGTAGCCATGTTTTTACAATCAGTGACAAAGCTACGTCAGGAAAACTTCCAATGAGTAATTGTTTTATATGTCTGGTTATACTTGGTTTTAAATGTATATTTCTTCTTATAGTGATCCTTATTAAGGTATTTTATGCCAATAAAGGTCAACTGAGACCGAGACAAGTTGTGTCCGGGTTCCCCCAACCCAACTCATGTTTCCTGTCTCCTCCAGGCCATCTTCAGAAGATGAAACACCCCCAGCAGGGAGCAAGTCATATAACTCTGGAGCTGCATGTACTTTCAATAATTCCCTAATGGGGGCCCTTTCAGCTTGTCAAAATGGCACGGGGCAGTTTGGAGCCCCCCTTTACCCCACACTGCAGTTCAGAGCAGAAAAGGGCTCCCTCCGTTCATCAAAACAACATTTCCTGCAGCTGCTGGGAATGCAAGTTGAGCCAGGGAAACGCAAGCACGGCTCACTGGGGTTGCCAGCTCCAGGCTGGGAAATCCCTGGAGATTTGGGGGTCCAACCTGGGGAGAGTAGTGCCCGGGGCCTCGGCAGAGTACCATGCCATGGAGTCCACCTGGCAAAGCACCCATTTTCTCCAGGGGGAGCCAATCTCTATGGGCTGGAGATCAGTTGTGATTCTGGGAGAATTTCAGGCGCTACCTGGAGGTTTGCTGCCATACAGCTCGCTAAAAAACATAATGTCCAGTTTGGCCCTTAGTTGGTGTAAATGACCTTTGCTTTCTCAAAGAAGAAACAATTATGAAGACCTCGACGGGGAAACGTAGATCATCTGACGAAACTTCTTGTCCCGCTATCCAGTGCTCCCTCTAAGCCAGTGATGGTGAACCTTTTAGAGACCGAGTGCCCAAACTGTACCCCCAAACCCACTTATTTATCACAAAGTTCCAACACAGCAATGCCAACTGGAACAGCTCCTGTTCCAGTGCCAACTGGAACAGCTCCTTGCCCTCCTCCAAATGACAGCCTTTCAGATATTTAAAGAGAGCAATCCTGTCCCCCCTCACTCTCCTCTTTTCAAAACTAAACATTTCCAAGGCCCTCAGCCTTTCCTCGTAGGGCTCAGTCTCCAGACCCCTGATCATCCTCATCACTCTCTTCTGCACCCTCTTGATTTTGTCCACATCCTTTTTGAAGTGAGGCCTCCAGAACTGCACACAGGACTCCAGGTGCAGCCTGACCAAGGCAGTATACAGAGGGGCAATGACCTCCTGTGATTTCAATGCTATGGCCCTTTTAATACAAACCAAGACTGAATTTGCCTTTTTTGCCACCGTATCACACTGACTGCTCATATTTAGTTTACAGTCCACCCTTACTCCAAGATCTCTCTCACATACGCTATGCCCCAGAAATGTATCCCCCATCCAGTATTTGTGCTTGACGTTTTTGTGGCCCAGATGTAATACTGTGCATTTATCTTTGTTGAATTGCATCCAGGGCCGGTGCGTCATATAGCCAGGTTAGGCAGTTGCCTAGAGCACCCCTGTAAAGAGGGCGCCACGCTGGTCTGCTGCCCCGCCCTTCCCTCGCTAAAGAGCCAGCCTCCTCCTCCTCCTCGGAGCAGGCGTCGTTGCCAGCAGGATCAGAGCCATGCACGTGAGGGAGGGAGCGAGGGAGGGCACCACTGCCGTGTCCAGGCTGCCAGCTCCCTGCGCCCTCTGAGTGCAAAGGACGCCTCGGCCCGGCTGGCCTCCTTCCCCAGTTTCCTGCTTTCACCTGAGGGGGTGGTGGTGGTGGCAGGCGGCGGCGTGACTCGGGAGTGAGAGTCGCCCATCATCGTGTGCCTACAGAAACTGACCGCACGGTGCAAGGTTTTGGGTACTGAGAGATTCTGATTGGGCTTGGGCAGCCCCTTCTCACACAACCTGCCCCCTCCCTTCGCCCTGCCCTTGCACAAAACACGGCAGAGAGAGAGAGAGAGAGAGAGAGAGAGAGAGAGAGAGAGAGAGACACACGACGGTACAAGGTTTTGGGTACTGAGAGATTCTGATTGGGCTTGGGCAGCCCCTTCTCACACAACCTGCCCCCTCCCTTCGCCCTGCCCTTGCACAAAACACGGCAGAGAGAGAGAGAGAG